CTGAAGGATTTGCGGCACCATGAGGAGAGCAACAATACCAACCAACCACAGCTCCCAGGGTCTAAACCACCAGCCTGGGAGCACTTAGGGAGGGATCCAGCACTTCAGTTGAATATGTAAGAGTGGAGGGCCCTGCTGGGCATAGGTAGAAGAAGAGAACCTTGACCTCATGAAGGCTGGATGCCCCAGGGGGTGGGAATTTTGAGGGTTGGGAGGTGGGAGTGGGGGGGTTAGATAGAGGTTACATCCACAGAGAAGAAGGAGGAGGGGTGAGGGGATTGGTGGTTCCTGGGTGGGTGGGGGATGGGGTAAGGGGACAATATAGGAAATGTAAATAAAACATCCAATAAAAAAAAGGGAAAAAAAAGAATATGAACTACATTGCCCTTTTTTTAAAAATTAATTACAAAGTTTTAGGTTTCTTTGTGGCATTTTCTTAAATATTAATTTATATTTGAAACCCTTCCTCCTCCTCTCCCATTCTTCATCCCTGTCTCCTCAGTATCTCTCTGACTATTCCTCCTTCCGCTTTCATACATATTTGTTACCCTCCCCTCTCACCCAGAGCCTTTTTTGTCTCCTGTTAGGATCATTTCTGGTTTCTCAGCCCACTCACACTCATTGTCTAGTAAATACACATGTACACATGAGAAGCTAGGATACACTTTTAAGAGAGAATATGTGATATTTGTCCTTTTGCATATGGGTAGCCTCAGTTAGTATATTTTTCAACTCCATCCATTTTCCTGCAAATTATATAATTTTACTTTTTTTTACATTTGAGTAAAATATCCCTGTGTATATGTTCCTTATTTTAATAATCCATTCACTTTTTAATAAGCATCTTGATAGATTCCATTTCCTAACTATTGTAAATAGAGTAGCAATAAATATACATATACATATATACACACACATACACACACACACATATAATGTGATATTTCTGTTAGAGAATATAGATTCCTTTGCATGTATGACCAGTAATGATATAGCTGTATCATATGAGTGCTCTATTATAAGCTTATTGAGAAATCTCCACCTATATCTACATAGTGACAAAATCAATTTACACTCCCACTTACAATGAGTAAGAGATCTTTTTTCTCATATCCTCACCAGCCCTTGTTGTCATTTGTTTTCTTGACGATGGCCATGCAGACTAGGGTAAAATTGTAATTCAAGTAGATTTAATTTGTATAGCCCTAATAGGTGAGGGTACTGAACTCTTTTTAAAGTGTTTACTAGTGACTTATATTTCTACTTTTGAGAGCTCTGGGTTTAGTTCCATAGCACACCTTTTTTATTGGAATATCTGTTTTCTTGCTAAGTTTTTAATTTCTTTGTGTACTCTCTATATTATGTACTGAATATATATATATATATATATATATATATATATATATATATATATATATCAAAAATTACACACATCTGTATGGTGTCTCTCTATATTGTATTTTTAATCTCATGAGACCTTTTTTTGTTACCTTTTGGTCTTATTAATTTTTGAAGTCAACTATGTATTATGGATTTCTTATAAATAACCTATTGTCTCTTTATAATCAATAAACTGTGTGTATACAGTTCAGACCTCAGCACATGAAGGCTAGAACTAGAAGAGAGACCTTAGAATAACAGAACTTATTGATCCTGTGGCATTGTTCGATATCAAATGTGTTTGAAGTTCCATTTGTCTTTGTTTGCTAAGATTAAAATTAAATCAAAGAGTTTATCAAACATAGAAAATCACTCCCTGTGTTCTTTTAACGAACTAGGCTTCACAAAGAGTAAGTTTTCCACCTTACAGTGACCTTCCAAGCAGAATCTGCTTTGTACAACTGCTCCCTCTTCCTGTTTCATCCCTACCTCCATCCTCCCAACCCTGGCCTCTCATTGGCCGATTTCATTGCAGTCTCTCTACCACTGTATCACTCTTCTTTCCACTTGGACCACTATCTTCCTGACTCTCCACTGCCTCTCCTCTTCCTCCTTTTCCTTCTCCATTTCTCTCCTTTCATCCCTCTATCATCTGTCTCTATCTTTTTTTTTTTTTTGGTTTTTCGAGACAGGGTTTCTCTGTGTAAGCCTGGCTGTCCTGGAACTCATTCTGTACATCAGGCTGGCCTCAAACTCAGAAATCTGCCTGCCTCTGCCTCCCAAGTGCTGGGATTAAAGGCGTGGACCACCACCACCCTGCTATCTGTCTCCATCTTTACCCCATCATCATCTCCATCTCCTCCTCTTCCCATTCCAGTGTGACTCTTAATTGCCACAGAAAGCTTTTCTTGAAAATACTATATATTTTATTAATATTTTATAGTAATTTTATATATTATGCATTAGTTAATATACTGATTAATATGCCCTATATTAATTAATATATTATATGATAGTTGTTTTAAATAATATATTATGGGCATATATATGAAGATAGGAACACTGTATTTATCTCATTATCCTATTTTTTAAATTCCTACACTGGTTTCTATTCAAAAGTGTTTATAAATCTGTTAATTTTCATTGTTTTATTTTCCTAAGGTTGATTATAACATTCAAGACAACAGGAGTTTTATATTCTTTGCTGATAGCTATTCAGTCCATTTCCTTTAATGATCCCTGACTTAAAATGGCTATAATATTTAAAAGGGAAAGATAAGATGCAGAACAGGCCAATTTATCACATTAGCCTTGAATTGAGAGAGTGACATGACAGAAATACTCAATTCTTAAATAAATGATTTAGTCTAATAGAATGCTTCTTCATGGACCAAGCTAACTGAATGAAATTAAATTCCATTAAAGAAGTCAAAAAGCCCAGAATCGACAAACACACCCTTGTATTTTCAGGCATGAATGATTTGCTACAGTTTGGCCCTGAATATATGAAAAAGTAGAACTTCATGAGATGTTAAAACTTAAGTTTAAAAATAAGGACAAGGATATTTATACAAAGCATTGGATTTTTAGTCACTCTATTTTGGGAGATTTGGGGATGTATGGCATAAAAACTCTTGACATTTCAGAGTAATGTGATGGATGTTGAGTAAGAAGATACCCATGGAAGTCAGAAGAAAGAAATAGGCTTAATTGTCTAAGAGAATATCATGAGGCAAGACTGTTTCATTTTATCCTTCTGGCAGATCATTGAAATAATTTGATGCTCAGCCAATGGGTATAAAAATATTTTTAGAGTATAATCCCTATGTCCAGTTAATTCAAAGACAGATTCCTTTTGAGACCATCACCAATGGGTCCAGGGTAGCTGCGGATGTATTGCTGCATCCAATATTAACTTAGTAGCTGGAAAAATACCAGCTTCTATTTTCCAAGGCCTGTGTGTTATTATTTCTTGGCTATATTGAACTCACTACTTTTCCTGAAAATGTGTGGCTTCTGTGGTGTAGAACTTGATTCCATTTCTGGTAGGTAGAAAGCTTGAATCTTTTTGTCCTTGAGGCTATTATAACTGAGATCTGAGTGACAGCCAAGGAAAGTCACATGTAGACATAGAGATGTATAAACATTCACCTTCCTAAACGTATCTTTGGTTCGAAATAGAAGGAAATTATATTAAAAAAATACATTGGAATAGTAAGTAGGAGAGTCTACACTAAGATTGTTCCCATTTGGGGGGAATACTTGTAAGCAAATTTGATGCAAAAATTTGTAATGTTTCCAGAACTTTATTTCAGATTATAAGCAGAATTACACTGTGAAAAGAACTGCTTTGTGTGTAACAAAGTTCTGCATCATTATTGGATTAAATATAAAGTTGCTGAAGCAAATCCCCAGCCTGGCATCCTCTGAGGACCTATCATGACCTTGTTTCCCCTCCTTGAGTTTGGCCATGAGTGGTGCTTCTAAAGTTGGTTCTCATCAAATAAGTATTTCAAAGATATGGGAAGTTGGCAATTTGAGTCATATATGATGCTTTACATTCCAAGAACTAGACCTAAGTCCACTGCATCTCTCAACAAAGTATCTTTCCAAAGAATTTTTTTCTTCCCTCAATACCCTAATCAGCCCTGCCCCTAACATAGCATGAGGGGTTGAGATTTCTAATACTAACTGACTTGGTTTAACCACACAGGAACTGTAGAATTGTGTCCAAGTAATTTTACAAGGACAGCAGATGCTTTAGTTACTGCACGTCAAAGTATTTCCAACTACATGTCTAAATCCCATAGTATTCAAGATAAAAAGCAATATGTGTATGTGTGTATGTATCTATGTATGCATGCATGTATACTAGATTCATAAATAAATAATTTAATGAAATGAAACTCTTTTTTATGAACCATAGTTACAGAATGAATTTAAATTTCCATTAAAGAAGTCCAGAATCTGAAAATACACCCTTGTATTTGTGTGTGTGTGTGTGTGTGTGCGTGCGTGTGTGTGTGTGTGTGTGTGCATTGTTACGGGGTCTTATTTTTAAGTGTTTGGAAGAATAAAAAGAGATTTTAAAAAAGAATCTTGGCAGTATCATAGCTAGAATCAGTAATAGGTAAGTAATTATTGCCTGCAGAGAACTACTGACCATACAAGACAAAAATTTGCCTTGCTTCATTTTTTTCACAGTATTTCACTATATTAAAAATATTCTGGTGCAAATATTTTTTCATATGCCTTCTTAAGTACAAGCTCACAAATATTAGAATCACACAAATAATTAATTTACGCTCTAAAAAATAAAACTCATAGATAAGTTCTCCTAATAATTATTAATTAGGAAGTTGAAAATGTCTATAAGTACTGGGAGTCATTCTACTTCTTTTTCATGTGTTGAATATTCATACAAAGTGCAGTCTTAGCACTAGATCAGCATCTTCTCCATAAAAGGCCCATTGATACCCAGAGGAGACCTTCTTTTCTCTGTAAAGTAGAAGACCGCCCACTCTTCAGTGTCTTTTTTGTCACCATGAAGAACAGGGAACGTTTTATTCTTTCCAAGAAATGACCTTTTAGATTTAGTAACAGCATGTTCTGTTCCTCAGGAAACAAGGGAAGATCGAGACAGGACACGGCTGGACTCCATGGTGCTGCTAATTATGAAACTGGACCAACTAGACCAAGACATCGAGAATGCACTCAGCACTGCCTCCTCTCCATCCAGCACCCCAACAAACCTGAGACGACATGTCCCTGTGAGCTGCCTGTTCCCTACTCTTTTTCCTAATGGAATAGAATCCCTTTATGTCTGTTCTGCTGTAGTTACTAGTGTTTTGTTTTTGTTTTTGGTTTTGGTTTTTGTTTTGTTTTGGTTTGTTTTGTTTTGTTTTTCAAAAAACTTAGGAGGACCCTCAGTCCTGGCCCACACTACGCAAGCAATCTTCTACTTTACTGTATCACCAGCCCTGTTTTTAATTTGAGACACAGCCCTTAAACTCACTTTGTAGCCCAGACTAGCCTTGAACCAACTATCTCCCTGCCCTAGATGCTCAAGAAGCTAGGATTACATGTCAGTGCCCACTAAGCACAGCTAGAATAGGACCCCTTTATTTGATATGGTCTCTCTTACAAGTGACACATGTTTGATGATGGCATCCACTAATAAATGAAACAGAACCCCATACAGATCACTCACCTCTTTCCATATGTCACACAGAGGGTCCCGAGAGACATCAGTGACTAAAAAATACTGACCATTAAAAAGAAAACAAAGCAAGCTTAGGAAATTCTACTTCTTGGGGGTTAAGCACTCTTTGTTGTAGTAGTGACTTGTACTACTGTATTTACTACTATTCAGTGACATGATGCACTCAGTTGCAAATGCTGTGTTTATATTGATAACTACATTATTTACAGCTTTTCAAGTTATGACTGGTTATTTCCAAGATATAAATTATCTTATCTTATAAATTTACATTGCATGAAAAACATGTTTAATATTTTCCACATGGACAAACAAGTAGATGAATGGAAGGATGGGTGGGTGGATGGATGGATGGATGGATGGATGGATGGATGGATGGGTGGATGGATAGATTGATGGATGGATGGATTGATGGATGGATGAGTGGATGGATGGATGAGTAGATGAATGGATGGACGGATGTTGGATGGATGGATGAGTGGATAGATGAGTGGATGGATGGATGGATGGATGGATGGACAGATGTTGGATGGATGGATGGATGGATGGATGATGGATGAGTGGATAGATGGATGAGTAGATGGATGGATGGATGTTGGATGGATGGATGGATGGATGGATGGATGGATGAGTGGATGGATGGATGTGTAGATGGATGGATGGACAGATGTTGGATAGATGGATGAATGGATGGATGGATGCATGAATGGATAGATGGATGGATGGATGGATGGATAGAAGGAAAATGTGTTGTTAGATGGGTGAGTGGAAAGATAGGTGGATGAGTGGATTGTTGGGTGGGTAGATAAATGGATAGTTTGATAGGTGGATAGGTGGGTAAATTCAAGTGGACTAATCCTGCTTACTGCAAAAGATAAGTCATATGAAGGTGACGTGTTAGTACTCTAAAATATGCTATGAAAACTAATGAAAAAGGTAGAAGTTAGAATTTTATCCCGTTAAGTTTATATAATAGATGCTTCAATGGGATTCCAAAACTCAAAATAAAATTTTGAAGAAATAAATCCTGAAATTGCCTCTATCCTTTACATATTTAGCTTTATGTTTAATGACTTAGTTTATGTAGAGATAACATATATAGCATAAAGCTTAACTGTAAATAAGCCATCCCTTTTCTACTAAACAGGATTTGCATTAAAATATAGTAAATAAACCACACCAAACAAATTTACATGAGATCCAAAATGTAGAAAATCACATAAGCAAATTTGACACCTTCTGAAACAGGATTGATATAAAATTAGATTTCAGTCTTGAAAGTTCATAAAAATTAAATTTTAATTTTTGGTAACCTTAATGACTTTCCTTACCCTTAAAGATTCATTGCAAATATGTTCTTTATCATAATCCATACCTAAATAACTCCCTAGGAAAACTCTAGTCCTTCTCTCTCTAGAGATGCCCTAGTTATTTGTAAATAGTTTCATTCTAGCAAATAGAAAGGGAATCTATAGAATTTTGTATAGAAATAATAGAAACATCCTGTTTCCAATATTTCAATCAAATTAAAATTTCACATTCATTTTCTCTAGTACCTCTACGTTAGAAATGTCTTATTTTTCATAAGGTTCTGGATGCCTTTTTAGCATTCATGGGGTCTAGAATATGGACGGCTTTTTTTTTAAGTTTTCTGAAATGAGTTGTTAATCTTGCCTGCTTTTAATCCCTTCCTTCTCTCAAGTTCCATTCAAGTTTTCTAAGTCTGCATGTATTAAATAGAAAATTATAGCTGAGATTTCTATCAAACACCATATTTTTGTCTTTATTTCAGAAAGTAAGCTATCTTTCCCCTACATACTAGACTGGGTTCTTTCTTATGCAGTAAAGATAAACCAAAAACCATGAACTAACATACATGATAATTAAATCATTTGTCTACATCTATGTTTTATGCTTCTACATAAACTGTAAACTGGAATTTAATATTTCATATAGTATTTCAGAATATTACCAAAATTATTATCATAAATATTGCTGCTGTAAATATAATATTTATTTCTAGGCTTTCAGTTTATCAGTAGAGTTGAAATAAAGCAAAATCGGTCAGCAGAAGCACTAAGAATGTTAGTGCCTGAAAAGAATTAAACAATTAGTGACTGTTTTGGATTCCCAGCTTTAAAACTGAGAAATTTGTCTAATTTCTCAACTGCAGGTTCATGTAAAACAGATATACACAAAGATTAACTATTTAACTATTGCCTTCTTGTGGAGACAGATGAACTAAAATACATAAGCATGTTTGCATGTATCTAACCCAGATTCTACTTGGCCATTGTTGATGATTCTCTTTGATTTCCCTCTACACTCATATCAGACACTGATCAAGGCATGAACAATACATATCCCTGAGCCTCAAAGCTACCTGTCAATCTTCACAGTTCTCTAGGTCACACTTGGTCTTTTTCTCTACTTTTTGTTGTTATTTTGTTTTGATTTGATTTTTGTTTTGATTGGTTTTGGTTTTGGTTTTTGGTGTTTAAAGGTAATGATAGCATTTTTTTCAACTGCACTTTCAATTCCTTTTGATAACTGTGCCATGGAATAAAAGGATTATGGTGTCATAATTATGACCTTGATCATCCACCAGGGAGCACTAACCCAAGGGAGAAAGTGCCTCATCTCCATCCTTTCTCTACTGCCCATTTAACTTTAGCAGGAAGAACACAGCACACAATGAACCAATGACTTCTCCCCTATCCCACCCACTCTGTGTAAGAAAACTTAGGAAATTCCAGAATGGATTCTCTATATAATAAAGAATATAAATACAAGCAGAGACTGGGATGATGAAGAACAACATTCATTTGAAGTAAAAAGGAAGAGGTAAAGACTTGGACAAAGTTGCTCAGAGAAAAACCTAAAAAACTTGAGTATACCCTGGTAGATTCTTGAAACCCCAAGATCTGATTTTTTTTTGTCACCCAAAATCTTGACTTTCTCATGTTCTTTTTACCTAGTCTGTCTTCCTGAATTGATTCTTGGCCACTTTTCCATCAACTCTGTCCTACTTGCTCCTGCCCTCCATAGCACCGACTATGGACAGTCCCTTAAGCTTAACTAATGATAACAATCTCTTAGAATGGGTGGTAGATAGGAGTTGGGGCTAGAAAACAAAGCAGTAGTAGTTGGTGTACACTAAGTTTTGCATATGTTGCTTCATTGTTCTCTTGGTCTTATGATGAGCATCTTGAGCTCAGGAAGGATGAAAGATTTACTAGGGTTACACAGGCAGGAAGTGAGAAGTTTGTCAAATGTCACATAACTTTTAAGAGTCACTTCCACATCTTTCAGAAAAGCCAACTTTCATTCTACCACATTATAAATCTTCCCAAGGTCTTCTCTTCTCAATAGCACGGCATTCTGAGTTTGAGCCACTAATTGCTTTTCATTTGAATGTATAACCTAGTGGATATTGATAGTCTGTGGGACATTTCAGCCATACCATAGAAAAGCTTAAGAAATACATAGGCTAATGTCAAATCGGTGCCTGTGATGGGGTTTGGGCACTGTTGGGCAGTGTTTTTCAGTCTTCCTGCTTCTCAAAGCCCTTCCTTAGCCTAAGACTGTATATAATATGCTGTGTACAGTATATCAGTATGGAAGGAAGAAAGAAAGCTGGCACTGTTCTTTTCATGTCAGACATAAGAACAAAAGCTTTTCTTTATCTTTGGCCAAGCTTCACCCTGTTTCAACTCTTTTTTGACCCAGAATTTTATGTTCTTTTCACCTAGTCTGTCTTCCTGAATTGATTTTTGGCTACTCTTCCATCAGCTCTGTCCGACCTGCCCCTGATCTGACATCCCTGGAGTAGTTGCACTATTCTTAACATTCAAGTTCACTTCCTACATTCCTACTGATTTTTTGATGTCTGCTTCTTCTCCAGTTGTCTCCTCATCAGTTACTAGTTGTGGACCTCAATACCCCCTCTTCCTGATTTTACCCTTTACTGCTTCTATTCAGATTCTTGATTTAACTTTCATATTGAATCACTTTTAATATTCTCCCTAGGAATCATCTGGCCTCTATTGTCTTCTTTATAGTGAATAAAAACAGTGAAGACTTATTTTGTGATGTAAACAACTATATAAATGACAAATCACAAGGTTCCCTCTATTTTGTGCTGTAGTTGGATGGTCTATAGACTTGGTCTATGGCATAGACCACCCTAGCTAGCCCACTACAATAAGTCATGAACAGAAAGGCAAAATAAATGCAAAAGATCCATTATAAAAATATTTTTATAAGGCAAATTAAATAAATTACCTACTACTTACAGTTATACACTTAATGTTTATAAACTGGTAGGCTTTTTTGTTTGGTTAGGGTTTTTTTTTTTTGCTACTATCCATTGCATGTTAATTCAGTTTGAAATTCAAGTGAACTATATTTTTTTAGAATAATATGGTTTTTGTTTCCCATGAAAAGACATAAAAAGTAGTCTGTTCTGAAGTCATTCTAGGCACAAGAAATTTGGATACAATTATGTACTTTACATATCCATGTGTGGACACACACATGCACAAATGCATATACCTATTAAAGCAGTGTCATTATTCATGTTCATTTACATGCTATATATCTCTTATAACATTTCCATCTTTGGAAAATAACTTTCAATACTATTGATGGGTTGTAATAAAGGGAAAAAGCATTATTCACATTTTGAACTAAGACTGGAAAGATTTTTTTCACTTCCCATCCACAAGGCCCTGTGAGGAAGTCTAGATGGCATTTTGTTACCTATGATGTGATACTAAGTGAGTTACTGGAGGTCACATAGAAATTAAATCTGCTTGTGGGAGGAAATGGGCATGTAGGAGACACTCGTGAGCCTTTTCTCATGGTTGTTTGTCTTTTAACAGGATCTGGAATCAGGATCTGAAAGTGGAACAGACAATATCACAGTAAATCAGACACAGGTGAATCTGTCTTCAGAGTCTACTGATCCATCATCCACTCCTGCGAGTAATTCTGGAACCAAACCCAAAGCCACGGTAAGTTGTACACAATCCCAGACTCTTCAGTCAATGTTGCCAAACATGAGGTAAGCGTTGATACCCTTCTATTCAGTTTGGAAATAAGACTATTGGACTCTTAGTATCACTAAAGCAGGCTATGAATCCAGAATTATGCGAAATATGGTCCATGAACTCTGTTGCAGAACTTTAAAGAACCAAGAGTGTGAAATGCAGAAATGGGTTGTCAGGTGTTGTCATCATGACCACACCACATACTCATTAGAAAACTTCTAAGCTTTGATGACAGTTAAATGTATAGATGGATACAACATTGTCTGAGATAACATGATGATGTGTAAAATCACTCCATCATATTTTGTGGACATTCAATGACATAGCATTCAAAGCCTAATATTTAATGCAATGTAAGTTACTATCCTTGTTGTCCTGATGATTTTACAATGCCATCTACACAAATGAAAGAAAGAGTTTCTATACAGGATTTACAGCACAGTAAATTCGAAAGAATAACATTTTCCTTTAAGTAAAATCTGAATTGCAAAGGCAAAACAGTTATTTGACTCTAAAAGGTAACATTTATGGGGAAGTAATTGCTGCTTCAAATATCTAAAGTCCACACAGTTCTAAAATAACCTCTCCTAGTTCTGTGAAAATCACAGAGCTGTATTATTTTTTTAATCCCCATGTTAGCTTAACATGGAGAAATGAGTTTGAACTGTTTGTTTTCCTGTCTTTAAAGTAAAGGCAGTTCTAAAATGGGACTAAGAGAATACTCTGAGTTTGAGACATGGTAGATTCACTGGGATTTAAAAGGAATCAAAGCACACTGTTGAAATAGCAGATGGGCCTGGCTTTAGTATTTACATAAGCAGGGCTTAAATTTCCCCTTGTCATTTATATACAGATCATTTGATTCTAAACATCTACTCATATCTACATATACCATGCATTATACCAAATTTGAAACAACAAAGCAAAAACAAAACAAAAACAAAACCTCAGAGGAACAATATGTTAGCCAAGTATTTAATGTCTTCTGTTCTATCAAAGAGGATAGGTATTTAAACAGTAAAATGCAAGGAAATGCCACAATACTATGAGAGTGCTAGGTGAGCAGGGAATAAAAGACATGCATAGTATTGGTTTGCGGATTCAGTAAAAAAGACAGCCAATAGCAACAAATGCTAATAGGCAGACTCTAATGGAATGTTGTTCTTTTATTGATGATAAACTTCTTTGGCCTACCGTTTTATAGAAGTTCTTTAAGGACCTGTGTAGCCCTGTGGGATGTCACACTGTCTTTGTGTCTTTGGTGGCATAAGTCTATCATCTATAAAGATGCTACACGAAAATTTTTCAATCTGGACACTACAGGTACTTGTGGTTCAGATTTTATGGGATTTATTCTTCTTATGTTTTGATTGAAATACAGAATTTATGACTTAACATGTACTAACATTAGGTGTTCCACTTAATGAGTTCTCATATCTGTGCAAAGCTAGAGTCTGTGCATTTGTATGCCATGTGGCAACCACCTAGGACAAGACAAATTCTGAGGGACAGAGTGATGCTGGCTCTGGATTGAATACTCTCCTATCACATGTTTCTCCATTTGTCTAAAAATTATATGATTCATGTAATTTTAATAGGTGGGTATACATTTAATAGCTAATAATATAATAATAGGTGGTGTTTATAACAATTTTTAACTCATTTTACATTTTCTCTAAAGGCTTTGTTTCTCTAAATGGGTGCTTATTTATGAGGAATATTATTATAATTTGATGCATGTCTTGGGCCATGATCAAATCAGTATAATTGACATTTGTCTAAGAGCTTAAATATTGAGAAAACAAACATAAGGCAGAAAGAGCTAACTGAGAATGGCTTGTGTGTTTTGAAACCTCAGATGCAACTCCTAATAACATACCTCCTCCAACAAGGCCACACCTCCTGATCCTTCCCAAACAGTTCTACCAACTGAGACCAAGCATTCAAATATATGAACCTATGGAGGCTATTTCCACTCAAACCACCACATCACCTTTGTTTCACCTCCAATAATGTCATAAAGTGTTTTCTTTATATTTTCTTCAATTATTTTCTAAGATTAGAGTCTTTATTAGATCTTTTGTTCACTTTGAGTCAATTTTTTTTATCTCTTTGCAGATAGGAATCTCGTAACATTATTTACCTCCCTGTTCAGTTTTCATAGAAGAATAACTTGAAGAGAATATTCTTTCTCTGATATACACAATTGGCCACTTGTCAAACTTGAAGAGAATATTCTTTCTCTGATATATACAATTGGCCACTTGTCAAAATCAGTTAGCTGTAACTATGGGTTGGTTTTAAAGGGAAGCAGTCTGTTCTGTTTCATTGGTTTATGTCTATTTTATGTCAGAATCATAGTAGTTTGATTACTACAGCTTTGCAGTACATTTTGAAGTCAAGTATCATGATGCCTTAGCTTTTCACTACTTGCTTAGGAAACCTCATACATTTTGCCTTTTTCTTTGCCTCTCTCTCTCTCTCTCTCTCTCTCTCTCTCTCTCTCTCTCTCTCT